TAAGCATACGAGTAAGCTTCTGCAGACCAAAGCCCCCCACACTCACACACACATGCACAGAGAGAGAGAGAGAGCTTATACACACTTAAAAAAGAAAACACAAGGGAAAGCAAGAGAGGCAAAGAAAAGAAACAGGAGCCCAAAAGACCAAAAATCGTATGTTCTCCCTCATATGTGGACATTAGATCAAGGGCAAACACAACAAGGGGATTGGACTTTGAGCACATGATAAAAGCGAGAGCACACAAGGGAGGGGTGAGGATAGGTAAGACACCTAAAAAACTAGCTAGCATTTGTTGCCCTTAACGCAGAGAAACTAAAGCAGATACCTTAAAAGCAACTGAGGCCAATAGGAAAAGGGGGCCAGGAACTAGAAAAAGGTGAGATCAAAAAGAATTAACCTAGAAGGTAACACACACGCATAGGAAATCAATGTGAGTCAACTCCCTGTACAGCTATCCTTATCTCAACCAGCAAAAACCCTTGTTCCTTCCTGTTATTGCTTATACTCTCTCTACAACAAAATTAGAAATAAGGGCAAAATAGTTTCTGCTGGGTATTGAGGGGGTAGGGGGGAGAGGGAGGGGTGGAGTGGGTGGTAAGGGAGGGGGTGGGGGCAGGGGGAGAAATGACCCAAGCCTTGTATGCACATATGAATAATAATAAAAAAATTTAAAAAAAGAGAAAAGTATGTGAATGACAGCATCAAAGAAAAAAAGAAACAGGAAGCTGGGCATGGTGGTACACTCCAGTAATCCCTGCACTTGGAACACTGAGAGCGTAGAATTTTGAGTTTGAAGTCAGCCTCAGCTACATAAGGAATTCAAGAGCAGCCTAGGCTACATAATGAGACCCTGTCTCAAAAATTAAAAAAAAAAAAGAAAAGAAAAAGAAACAAGAAAAGTGATATAAGTATGCCGTGCGTGCACATCAACAGTCTGTGAATCTGTGCACATCTCTACCTGGGCACCTGTCATGAGGCCATTCTTACCTGCCCTGATATGTCACCTCTGCCTACTATGGTCAGGTGTCACACAATGACTTCTTGGTCAATGACAGGCTGCATATAAATCCCATAAGATTAAAACAGTGCTGAAAAATTCCTACCACCTGGTATTTTTACTGTTCCTTTTCTATGCTTAGATACATTTAGATACACAAATATCATTGTGTTCCAGTTGCTTGTCAGTACAGTAAGATGCTGTGCAGGCTTATAGCCTCGGAGCAATAGGCGTTGCCATTTACATACATTCAATATTTATTATATTGTAGCACATCCTAGGTGTTTATTAAGCTATACCATCCATGATGTTCACACAGTGAAGAAAATGCTGAGTGATAAGTTTCTCAAAACATGTCTCTGTTGTTAAGCAACACATGGCTGTAATTAGCAGATAAAGCCAGTTTGTAAGTGTTCTGCTCATGGCTAAGCTCATGGTGTCAACAGTCAGGTGACAGACAGCAGGTTGCCTGAAGTCAAGAGAACCTTTCTGGGTGGGATGTCCCTTGATCTTCCATTGCTCTGCCCTTTCAAGGTGGGTCTGTTCCTTACCTATGAACTTGCCCTTGACAGCTGGGTGGCACAGAAACCCTTCACAGAGGCCTTGCCTCTCTGTGTCTGTCTGAGCAGGGTGCTCTCTCAAGCTGGCCCTTTCACTGATCCATCAATAATCATTTACTGTACACTGCTCTGCACTGTGGGCTCCATGAGATGGGGACGGGTCAGCTCCTGGGGGAATGGGAGGGGGGGACGTGCCTGCAAGGTGGGAGATGCTCCAAAACTTTTGCTGAATGAAGGAAGGACATGTGTGCAACATCGTAGGTGGCCCCGCCAGTTCCTGCAGAATGACCACCTGCCAGATCACAAATTCTGAGAGGGCCCTGAAGGCCTGATCAGTGTTTCCTCAACAACCTTCTAGAGACATTCACTGCCCCCCATCAACTTCCCCAAATGCTCTACTTCCCCTGTCCCCCAGCCCTTGCCCCACCTTTCCCGAGCTGAGCTGCTGACTACTTCCCCTTTTGAGGTCATGCTGCCTGCCCAGGAATGGAAGAACCAGAAGCCCTGGGATCTTGAAGGTGAAGGGGGGATGAAAGAAGTAGGGTTCAGTTTAGGACCCCACCTCTTGAAGGCAGGACAACGTTCCCAGAGTGGAATTGTAAGTGTCTGAAGGTCCAGCTCTAAAACCAGATTCCTCATGCTACCCCCAGCCCCTTCAGGTAGAGCCAGGTCCCACCAAGCCTGGCACACCTAAGCCCCTGGTGGCCTTTTCCACAGGCTGACACTGCCCTCTGCTGGGCAGAGGCAGGACTGCTACCTCAGGTGTCACCTGAGGAAATTAGCAATGTGGCCTCCTTTGCCTGAAATGCCCCCCCAACCTCCCACTCCTGAAACCTGGGATCCTTGGAGACATTCGTCCTCCCATGGGTCCTGATTCAGACTGGATGCTGACCTTATCACAGACAAAAGGGACAGGAAATCCCCCTGCCCACTGTCTCCAGCCTGCTCACTCAAATTGGTCACTCAAATTCCTTCAATAAAGGGCAAAGTCAAAATACAAGACAAAACACATCTGGTGGCAACTCAGCTGAGGGGTCCACATCAATCCATGTGTCTGTTGCTCTTTGTGCTGGAATATTGAGAAACTCTGGAACAATGCAAACATGGCTACCTGCAATAAAAGAGCCAGAGAAAAACAACATGTATGGCTGGCTGCCCAGTCCCAACGACCTTTCAGATAATGTCCAGCACCTTCCCCCAGAACCCCTTTGCAGCCATTTTCCTAATGCCCATCCCCCCACAAACCTCCCTTTTCCCACTACAGGATGCTTAAAAACCCCACGCTGTAAGAGAGACATGCCCCTGCCCCTCTCAGAGTGCCACTCTGATGGCCGAGGGTCCCTCTCAGGTCTCCTCTCCCTAATAAAGACCTGCTGCTTGTAGAGGTAGCAGATTCTTTCTCGGTCTTCTTCTTCTTCTTCTTCTTTTCTTCTTCTTCTTCTTCCTCCTCCTCCTCCTCCTCCCCCTCCTTCTTCATTTTCCTTTCACTTTGCCCCTCAGTGCCAGAGCTCCTTCCTAGCTCCAGGTCTGCTCCAATTGAACAGGAATCTTAACCTCAGCACATCAGGAACCTTGTTCTCAAAACTTGAGTCTCTCTGGAAACCTGGGTTCTCTGTTGGCTACATCCAATAGGACTCCATGCTCTGCAGGGGCTATCTAACTCTGTAACACCTTTTGAATCCAGTCTTTTCTGCACTTTCCTTTCAGTCCAGCTCCTAACCTACACCTCCCAACCCAAGTCCATCGTCTACCAGACTGCTTAGGTTATTATCCTATAGCTCTGCTCCTATGGGATTCCCTGTTCCAAAGTCTTAAGCCATTCCTCCTTCCTCTCTGGTCATGAGTTTCCCCACAGTGTGGCCAGAGTCTGCCTACCCCACTGCAGACACTCCTCCACCTCCGATGGAGTTACGGTCTAGTAAGCCATCATAAGTTGAAACTATCATAAATTGAAGATCATGTGATACACTGAACCTACCGAGAAATCACAGAGATGACAGGGCTGCAGCTCACGGCCACTGTCCAGCATTGAGAGAGGGGATTGTAGCTAGGAAAAAAGATTAAAAAATCAATGTGTAGTTTCCACTGAATGTGTATTGCTTTCACACCATCATAGTAAAAAATCACAAGTCAAACCACCTTGAGTTGGCAGCCATCTATAGATTGCTGTATCTTCCTTCCACTCTGAGTGTAGACTGCTTCCTGCCATCCCCTATAGTTTCACTCATGTTATTTGTATCCAGGATGCTCTCCTTACATCTCTCAACTTTCAAGTAAACTCCATCAAGCTCCTTCCCACTGTGAAAGGCCCACCTTAATTAACTGACACCTTTGATGCCTTTCTTGTTCCCCAGAAAGTTATCTCCTCTGAACTCAGGAACCTGTTTTGCCTTTTATGGCACTTATGGCCCCTTCTCAGGACAGACATTTGTGCCTTGTTTCCCCTTTAAGATGGGCACAGCTCAAGGCCAGAGCAGTCTATAGCTTCACACACAAGGTCCTCTTTGTGTGTGAAGTATTGACTGGCTGGGCTGATATCAGAAATTCATGGACATTATTTTCCATGAGCACAGGTTTTGATGCAAAGAGAATACAAGGACACAAAGCCTGTGGGGAAATGGGGCACAAAAGGGACTGCAGGCCCCAATAATCTAGGGAGAATTTCAGAGCTGGACTCTCCGCTCCCTCCTGGTGCTACTCTGCCATGTTACAGATGAAGGGTCTCAGGGAAGAGTAAGAGGCAGCCAGGGCCTCCCAGCTGGTAAGCCCCATTCCTGGTACGTAAGAGGTCCAATAAATGCTAGTTTTTTCCTTTTGTGTAGTCCAGATTTCTCACCAACACCCCCACATGTTCCTCTACCATTTTTCTGGTACTGACGCTGTCCTAGCAAAGGGTAGACACGCTTGAACATTGCCATGGTTTGAATGTGTTCCTCAAATTCATGTGTTGGAAAGTTAACCTCCAAATTCATATGTAAATGGTATTTGGAGGTGTGGTCTTTGGAAGGTGATTGGGTCATGAGGGCTCTGCCTTCATGAATGGACTTAAGCCATTTGTAGCTTAAGGGAATAGTTTTGCTCTCCCTGGCATGCTTGTTCTTTCTCTGCCTTGCCATGTGTTGTCCTCTGCCATGTTATCATGCAAGAAGAAAGCTCTCACAGAAGCTGAGCAGATGCCAGCACCGGTGTTCTTGAACTCTCCAGCCTCCAGAACCATGAGCTAAATAAACTTCTACTCACCATAATCTACTGCATTCAGTTATAGTAATTAATCCTAGGCATATAGCATGATTCCTAGGGCAAACACGCCTACTTGGGTCTAGAGCCCTACCTGGGCTGAAGGAGAACCATGTAACTAGGCACAGAGGTGCTCAGTAGTGGTCATTAGGATCACCCATCCCACCCCACAGAACTCAGGCCACACAAAAATAATTCAGAGATGTTTTAATGCTACAGAAAAATCTGAAATCCGCAAAAAGCTGAAGCCACCCTCCTGGTTGCCTGGATCCAGGATTGTCCCAGGCAAGGGAATATCAGCCAGCAGAAGGCCTACCCAAGTCAAGGAACCAGAGTGATTTATGGACATCCTTTCATCCTCTGCTATAAGTGCCCAAGGTTCCCCTTTAGGTCCAGGGAAAGAGGAGGAAGTGGAAAAGAAGTAGGAGTAGGGTGGGTCTCTCCAGGGTACTCTTCCTGCTCTGGGCTGCTGACTCACCCAGTGGGACCTAGGAGGGGCCATCCATCAGGGCAAACAAAGCAGGGCAAGCTGGGGGCTCCAGTACAGTAGCCAAGGGGACACACCAGCAGAAGCTGAAAGGGGAGGCACCGTTCACTCACCATCCCAGCCTTGAAACCCTACCTCCTATACATGTTAGTGTGACCACATCTCTTCTGCACCCTGTTACTTTGGACTTTTCTTAAGTACAACATTGTCATACTCGGTTCCCTGTGGCCAACAAGAAACAGAAGAGTCCTGCTGGAGGGGGCTAGGGCCCCCATCGGCTGTGGCCTGCCTCTTCCACACCTCAACCCCAGGCTCCTGTGGCTGTTGTACAGAGACAGGGCAGCCATGCCTTCAGGCTCATCGTATATGTGGTCATGTGGAGGAGGCACTGGCTCCTCAATGCTGTCATACAGTGGGTCAGCCGGGAGCAGGACAGGGCCTGCCAGGATGCCCCTGAAGCTCTTCTCCAGGGAGCGGGCCACTGCATCGAACGGCACCGCATATTCCCCCTCAGGGCCCCGGGGCCGTGCACCAGGCACTGGTGTGCCAGGTGAAGGTGAAGGTAGCGAGTCGTGGGGCCGGGAATAGGGGCTCTCAGGCCGGGGCAGTGTGGCAGACACCACGGGCACTGTGGCTGGTGGGACAGCATTCTTCTGGGCATCAATGGCTTCTTCCAGGGCCTGGAAGATTTCGTTGCCTTGTCGTGTTTCGAACTCAAAGCTGCCCTCTCCAGAGACACAGCGCCGGCCCGCCTCAAAGGAAAAGGTCACCTGTGGCACAAGGGAAAGAGGGTGTCAACTCACCAGATGGCGCTGTTACTTTCCTGGACTTTCTACCCCAAACTCAAACCCTGTGGATCCAGCTTCCCTCCACCAGGAACTATCCAGGCCTTCTTCCCACCCCTTTGCTTCTCTCACCCTGTGTGCTTTTTCCTGGCAAACAGACCTCCTCTTTCTTCTCCCTTCATCTGCCTCCCTTCAAGTGTGGAGTTTACATCTAAGAAACGTCAGCTACTCCTTGGCCCTCTAGCTTCTGTCTACTTCTCCTCACTCCCTCGCCTTCTCTACCTCCTCTCCTCTCTTCTCATCCATGTGCCTCTTGGCTCTCATTCCCTCTCTTCCCCTGGCTTTCTCTCCACCACCTCACGCGATCTCCCTTCTCACTGCTTTTCTCTCTGCCTCTCCCTACTCCTCCTCCCTCCCATTCTTTCACTTTACCACTCCCCCGCCTCCCCCACCTCGCCCTGACCACTCTCTTTTTTCATGACTCATTCTTTCTCTCCACCTACTCAGCACAGCCCCTCACTCACCTTGTCCCGCCCAAAGCGCCGCAGAAACCTGTAGGGCCAGTCGTACAGCTGGGTGCCTGGCTCTGGGCCACCCCACAGCTCCAGGGCATTTACCCCAGCCCGGAGAGTGTAGGACCCTCGGAGCCTGCACCGCTCACTGGCTTCTGTGGGTCTCATGGTCACAGAAAATTCCTTACGGGGGACCCCTGGGGAGGAGAGGAGTAAGAAGGAGGCAGCTAACAGGAAACAGCTGGCCACCTTCTGCACTGTCCTATTCTAAAGAAGCCTGGCAGAAGGCCTCTAGAAAGATTGTTATCCATGTACCTTGGATCTGAAAGGCTGGGCTGCTGTGTGCCAAGCCACTCCCCCAAATGCCATGTACCTGCACCCCCTACCCTAGAAGGCATCATGCATGCCCTCAGCTACATCACCCCAATCTCTGGCCCACATCCTTCCTGTCACTGTTGCCAGACCCACAGCCTGGTCTTCTCCACCCCATCTCTCACCCCAAACCAGCTGCCTCCCCAGTCCTACGTCACAGCTGTAGGTGAAGTCCCAACACTGCACTCCCACCACCAGTAACCCCCACAGATGGAGCTGACAGGGAAGGCAGATGGATAGCTTCTCCCTATGTCCCCACACCCCCAGTGCAGAGGATACACAGACAATTAGAGCAGAGACTGCCTTGTCATTGAAGAGCTTCCTAGCCCCAGGATACCTTGCGCAGCCAAGCCCAGGCAGAAAACAATTCCTTTTTCACATAATCACGCTAGTCTCACTAAGAGAAGGTCAAGAGCACTACCCTCAGCTGGTCCTCAGCCTTGACCTCTCCCAAGAGCAGAGCCCAAACAAGATGATTGCGAGCCTAGGGCAGGCCAGGCTCTTCCACGCTGGGCCACACCGGAAGCCAACAGGAGAAGCTGATAAGGGGCCCAGGAGGGGCAACCACAAGGCAGGAAGACTTGGCCAGCAGCCGGCCCACACCTCCTCCCAACCACACCCGGAGAAGAGCACCCTGCAGCCCCCACCCTCACCTGTGGCCGAGCTGCTGTACAATTCATTCTCCTCCATGCAGGGCCTGCCACTTCTCCCCTCCAGCCCCGATGGCTCCTTTCTCAGCCCCTGGGGAGGAGATCCCAGGTCTCACCATGACATCTATCCCAAGGCCCTTTTCTAGCCCAGACTTTCTTTCAGGGTACACCCAACCTGGTGGCTTGGGTTGTACTCTGGATTGGAGCCCCCCACTAAGGAAGCACCCAACATCCTGGCCTTGATTCTACCACCTCCCACAGGAAGTAGCTAACACTGCCCTTCCCGCATGCCTGTTGTCCTCTCTGCAGCCCACACAACTCACGGGGAATGCCAGAAGGCAGATGGCATGCACCCAGTCATCTCGCTCTGCAGTGGGGGCCGCCAACAGGTACAGGCGCTCCTTAGTCTCCAGGATGAAGGTACTGGTGTCCCGGGGGCTGCTGGCCTCCCCACCTGCCTCAGCCACACGCAGGCAGTCATTGAGGCGGATAACCCTCCGGGTGGCCTCTCCCCGACGTGACTTCTCAGGGCCATCCTGGAGCTCTAGCCGGGCCAGGGCACAGCTGGACTCTCCATACAACACAGCTGTAAATCGGCGCCACTTCTGAGCCCAGGCATGGGAGGTGGGGGCCAAGAGGGAGGCAACCAGAGATGGAGAGCTGGTGACCAAAGGGGAGCAAAGGAACGGTGGGGGAGGGACTGGGGTAACAATGCAGGGATGGGGAGAAAGAGGTAACAATCCCAGGAGAGTTGGGGAGGCAAAGACCACAATAGGCACCATAGGAACTACAAAGCTGGAGATCAGCCATGAAACCAAGGAGGCGTACAAGGCAAGCAGGGACCAGCAGTGGCACAGTAGCTGACCCACAGGCACAGACTGCAGAAAGGCAGGCAAGCCAGCCTCTCGTGCAGGTCCTGGGCTAAGGGAGAAAAGCCAGAGTCACAGAGGGGTGGCCCAGGCTAGAGAGCTTGTTTCATGCGGTGGGAAAGCCTGAAGAAGGCCCCAGTGTAGAGCCGGGGGAAGAGCTTCTTACTCAAGGCCAGGGAAGGAGGGAACGTTGGACACACGATGGCCCAGGCCAAGCTTAACCCCAGCCCACCACACCCACCAGGATGTGAAAGGGAGAAGAAACCCCGTCATCCCAAATTGCCCCCCAACTCTTCCCTCCATTCCCTTCTAAGTTGTCCCCATGAGAAGAAATCAACAGGGAGCAAAAGAGCCAGTGATTAAGTCAGCACCCTTCTTCCTCCTCTTCCCTCAACCCAAGGGCAAACAGCCCTCAGCAAAGAGAAATTTAAAGACTGATTTGAGGCCTGGGTTTGGGAGGTTAGTGCCCATAAGGAAAGAGACTTCCCAAGTTGAGCTCTTGTCTAACTTGGTGGAAGCAATGATCCTAAAAGGATTCAAAGGCATTAAAATTCCCTCCCCACGAGGAATTTCTAGCAGCTCCCCACCCCCATGCTCTGCCCGGCCCCAGCCCAGCTCTGTTCCCACCTTGACAAAGGTCTGCTGCTGCTGAAGGTGCAGGAAGCCCTGCTTCACAGCCACCTCCTCCATCCTGACCATTGCCGCTCGGGCTCCAGCTCTCCCCTGCTGCCGCTTCCACCCTCTCTCTCCTTGGCCTGTGTTCCCCCTTCTCTCAAGTTCATTTCCTCTCTGCCTAGAGTTTTCTGCACTATTCTAGTCTACTCGATGATGACAGGCTGATAGGCCCTGTGGTTTCTTGCTCTCTGTGTGTGCTTTTTTTTTTTTTTTTTTTTGGTTATGAGTGAGTTTCATGCTGAAGCTTCCTGTGTTTCCATTGAGTAACATACAATTTCCAAGAAGCCAAATTCCAGATCTTCAGAGAGCAGCAACTCAGATACAGAAGCTAGCATGGGGAGTGGCTGACCGAAGAGACCAAGAAGCCAAATGAGACAATAAAACCAGTTAACAGACGGCCCCACGCTCAGGCTGGGTGCTGAGCATGACAGAGCTGGCAGAGAGCTTAGAAACCAACCTCAACCTACTCACTGAAATGGGAGGAAGCAGGATTAGAAAGGCTTTCCAAGGCCACCTAGAACACAGGTCTCTCAACTCAGGAAGAACTGAACCACACACGTGGCGCTGTACAGAGACACCTAAGACTGACCACATGGGCCCCCTGGCCATTCACACATATGCACACAGAGACTTACCTGCCCCACTATGTGAGCACATTCCCTGCCACAGACAATACATACTCCTCTGTGAATATTCTAGAATTAAGAACATCTTCTCTAGGAAGAGACTTACTCCTCAAGTACATCTCAGTTATTGGATGATAACTTCTTCCCAGCCCTCATGAGCATTAGAAAGACACTCGGGTTTCATCTGGAACTTATCTTGAGCAACTGTAGCTTCAGACTTCTGAAATCTTCCAAGTATACTCTCAAAAGCTCCCAGATACATTCTGTCACCAGCCACACTGCCCTTGACAAAAACAGGGCAGGCATGATCACACTTGCTTGCAGAGGAGGTGGCAGAGCTAGGTTTCAGGGAGAGGTAGACTTTTTTGTGGGGGAGGTAGTACTGGGGTTTGAACTCAGGGCTTCATTCTTGCTAGGCAGGCATTCTACCACTTGATCCACTTTTGTGTTGGGTATTTTCGAGATAAGATCTCTTAAACTATTTGCCCAGGGCTAGCTTCAAACCTTGATCCTCCTGATCTCTGCCTCCTGAGTAGCTAGGATTACAGGCATGAGCCACAGGTGCCCAGAAGGAAGATCTTTAAAGCAACATTTGCCAGACCCCTAAGTGGAATCCTGACTCCATGCATGAAGGTACATTGCTTTTGGGAAAGCCAAGCTTCACGGAGACTTCTTCATGGAGAAATCTGTAGAGTCAGATGGCTTAAAGAAGCAATCTGGATGGAGACAGGGCAGAACTGTTGGGGAAAACTGAGAATTAGGGCTGGAGGTGTGGCTCAAGTGGTAGAGCCCTGAGTTCAAACCCCAATACTACCCAAAAAAAAAAAATGAAGGAGGAACAGAGGGAAAACTGAGAATTAAACCAACACTCCTAGGGTCAATTCCATAATAGGTGTTCATACAACTGGGCCCATTTCCTCTACTAAGGACTGCCTGGTGAGGAGAATAGAGCCATACATAGCTCAGGCCTTCTGCTGCACATGCCACGTGCTAGACCAAAACAGCTTTGGAATGATGAATGAGATGGATCTGGAAGCTGGGGCTGTCCCTCAACCTCACCACTCTCAGTTTGAACAGGTTTGGTCCAAAAGCCAAAGGAGAACCATGAATGTTGTCATGGAAAAGCTCACTCACCTTTGAAGTGGCTATGAATATGAAACAGATGTGGCCTACTCTGTCTCTAGAATCCCTATGAACGGTCGGCTCTGCCTGGAAGTGTGTGGTCTTTGCCTCATGGAATGAGAAGGCTGTTTAAGGTCACCTTGGGGGCTGCCAAAGCAGTGTCATTCAAACTTTAATGTGCAGATCGTGTTAAAAGTACACATTCCAATACAGTGGGTCTGAGATGAACCCTGAGATTCAAATGCGCTGGTGGGTGGGCCAGCCCACACTCTAAGGAGTGAAGCAACAGAGGATGTTCCTCCCACCACCCTGCTCTCCTTCCCCAAAGGTAATCAAGGTACATTCTACTAGGAACCACAGGGGGGCGACCAAGTTTACCAGATCCCTAGGAAACTGTTTAAACCTCCAGGCCTAAACCCCAAGTAATCCAGACTCCCCCATCCCATTACTGATCTGTGGAAGCTAGAACAGCCCTCCTCTTCCTATAGCCATTGTCTGCAGAAGATAGGTAGCAGAAGTATATTGAGCAACACAGGTGTCATCCATCAGATCCAATTTCACCTATCAGGTCTTGTGGGGATCCTGAAGTGGAGGCACTAGCCTAGAGGGATCCCTGTGACCAGGCATCAAAACATTACTCCTTACTCCCAGACCACACGGCAGGGGTACAGACAAGGAGGATCTTAGGATCCCTGGGCACCAGAGATGGGAAGAAAAAGCCCAGAGGAAAGGATTTCAGTAGTTTACGATGAGACGATGTGGAGTTTGGGCTGGTTCTTGGCTTTGCCTTCATTGGAAAGGAAGAGGCACCCCAAACCCCACCTGGGCCTCTATCATAAGCCACTAGGACACTTTTCCAGCAAGTTAGGAGAGACGTTGTAACTTTGTGATACTATTCTCCCAAATTTTTAACACAAAAGGGCTTCTGAGCTTTTCCTTAGGGGCAACAGAGGAAAGAGCAGAGCTCACTGCATCTGGCTCCACGGGCAGGTTTGGGGATTAGGTAGCCCCAGATGATGCTCTGGGTGGGGCAGCTCTGACACACAACAGGAAAGGAAGTGTAGAGTGGGCACAGGTATAACACGGGCCAAGAAGGATGAAGGACGGGGCACAGATATGAGCAGGAAAGCTCACACACCTTGTCCCTGCTTCTCGACCCACAGTAGAGAAGAAGTGGGGGGGGGAAGACCAGCTTCTGAGTTTCAGCCCCAGCCCATAGCCCCTGTCCTTTCAGTATATTACTTGTTCCAGCACATTGGTCCTCCTTCATCTGCAGTTTCATAAACATGGTCCAAAAATAGTTAAGTGGGAAATTCTAGAAATCAACAATTCCTAAGTAACCTGTATTAAAGTGTATTCCTTATTCCACTTTATTATTACTTATTGAGGTTAATCTCTTACTGCCCACTTTATAAATTAAAGCTTATCATAGGTAAATATAGGAAAAACTATATATATAGTTAGGCACTATGACTACTTTTAGGCATCCACTAGGGGTCTTGGACTGCATCCCCAGGGGATAAGGGAATGAGATTGTACTAAGAAAAGAGAAACTCAGCTCCAGGAGACTTCTGAGAGGAAGAGTCTATAATACAATGTGGGAACTGCAACTGCAAGAAGATCAGAATGGCCTGAGCATTGTGAGCAAGAAGAGGCACAGTAGAGATGAACTCAGATCAAGTGGCCTCTTGAGTCACACCAAGAATTTTAATTCTAAATATTCTAAATGCAATGGGAGGCCACTTAAGGATTTTAAGCAGGGGTATGAATTATCTGCATTATGATTTGAATTCTGAAGCTGTATGGAGAAATGAATTATCAAGATGCAAGATGGGCAGCAAGAAAACCAGTTAGGACTCTAATAGCAGAGTTTAGGACAAGTGTAAAGGTAACTTGGACCAGGATGTTAGCAGTGAAGTTAAAGAGAAGGGGCCAGTATGGAGTATATATTAGATACAGATTCAACAGGACTTGAAAGTGGGTTGAAAGAGACTAAGGAATTGAAATAACTCCTGGGTGTTTACTTTTGAACAATTGGGTGAATGGTTGGATACCATACGGAGAAGGGGAAGACAAAGAAAGAAACAGTGTGTGTGTTTGGGGGGCGCGTAGCGAGATTGGGGCGGGAGACAGAAATTTGGGTCTAGCCCACCAGGAAGGTGTAATCTCTACACAATCAGTCGAGTAGGGAATCCAGTAGCGACTCCAAGAATATACCATGTCAGGAAGCTCCTGACCCCGCCACCCCTGCCTCTTACACTCATGGAACTAATGATTGGGCCCTGGAAAGTTGTTGCAAATACACATGCACAGAAACCAACAAATGTTAACAGGGTTAAGCTTGCCAGAAGCAACAATCAAAAACTCTGCCTTACTTCTGCCTCCAAAATCTTCTGAGTCAGTCTCATTGACTGAGCCAATCTTGCAGGCAGGGCCCTAACCACAGGGAAGTCTGGGTAATGTAGTTTTCAGGAGTCCTACCTTTGCGAACCAGGAAGACACACTAGGAGGAAGACGGAGGTTGAAATGAATGCTCAGCACAGCCCACTCTATCCACAATAGAAATGGTGGGTAATTCACTACTACCCTCATTCGCATCGCACGGGTAGCCCCCACTGGATACCAACTTCAAACAACCAATTCTCTCGAAATCCTAAAATCTAATCTAGGGGCCTTAAATAGAAGCCAATGCAATCAAATGGAAAACAGGAACCGGCATTCTCTAATACAGGTAATTCCTACTGGGAAAAGCTGGAATTGGCCTCACCAATGCCGGACCTCTTCGGACTCGGAGGGATAGCTTTCCCACCGACTGAGCCTAGGGGACCTGACCACCACCTCTCCCAGCCTCTGATCTCTCTCAGGAGGCAGCCTAAAGTACAGATTAGCGTAACAATTACTTTTGGAAGATTAAAATCGTGGCTTCTGTATGTTTTAGTCAACACCACTATCCAGTGGCTATACTCATGTCTGTTATGGGGGAGAAAAAGCAACGAAAACAAGATCACTATTGGGGTAGTTGTCCAATCCACATCACAGGGCCGTGGCCCTGGTCCACAGGGACAGAAGGCTAGAACGACACAAATATAAACGTGGCCAGGTCGGGAACAGTGTATTGGGAAGTAATGAATAGTCAAGTATCCTAGGTGGGCGTCATTGGCCGAATGGTGTTAGAGCAGTTGCGCAGCGGGTGGGCTAGGGACGCCTAGGGGCAAGTCCCGCGGACACGTGGGCGGAGGAATGCCCTAGGTGCAGAGGCTCCGGTTGGGGACCGACCTCCGTCCCTATCTGGGAGACCTCACGGCGCACAGGCGCGGAAAGCAGTGCCACCTCGCACGCCAGTGCCCGTCCGCTCGCCCACCCGCGGAG